TTATCTTCATTTAGATGTCAAAAGGGTTTTGTGGCTCCCAGTGTTTTCTTTTCTGTGGGAAACTGGTCCAAATGGCTCTTTGAGTGTTTAAGGTTGCTGACCCCTAGACTCTAGGGGAACCAAACAGGGAGCGATTAGGGTCAGATTTACCTATCTGACCCTAATCGCTCCCTGGCTCAACTTCTTCAATTGCTGGAGGAATTTGGTTACTACCACTGGATTTAAAGTTTAATGTGACAAATCTATTATTTTTCTTTTAGATCCGAATATGGCTGCTCATGTCCATCCCACACCCAAATTAAAAGTAGCCCATGAATTTAAATATTTGGGTGTCAGGGTTCAGCTCCCACTTTTCTCCAATATTGCAAACAATTTAGTCCCAGTGATCGACTCTCTTCAGTTGAAGACTAACAATGGACGGATTTAACTTTGGACCTTTATGGGAATGGTCAATATTATCAAAATGATTTTCTTTCCAAAACTTTTATATAGCTTGGCTAACTCCCCATGCTTCATCCCACAAAAGTATTTCCGTAAAATTAATTTTATATCCATTTCTTTTTTATGGCAGTGTTGTAGTCCTAGAGTGGCTCTGGAGGTGTTGCAGTATCCTCGTTCTCTGTTGGGTTTAGCCTTTCCCAATTTTCACTTGTACTATCTGGCAGCCCAGTTAGTGGTTATACATGATTGGCTGCTCACTAATGTAGGAAATTCCTACACAGCAATTAAAACCGCCATACTTACCTCTTTTGAATCTTTGCAGAATGTCCTGTATAGGGGGATTTCCGGTTCTCAATTGGGTACTACTCTTATTTCTATGACACTACGTATCCTTGCAACTAATGATTATTTTCATAATCGATTAGTTGGCCAATTTTATTTTTTAGATTAATTGATTAATCAGATAAAACAAGAATTAAATACCATCCTTAATTTAAAATAAAATACAGTGTCACAAACATAAAGTTTACTTCAGAATAAAACTGCATGCACAAATCTTTGCAATCGCACTGCACTGGAGCGCACGATATTGCGCCACTGTGCGTTCCAGTGCGGGCGATCACACTGTGGGTAGGAGGCGCGTTTGGAGTGCCATTGAAATGAATGGCACTGCAACGCACTTCCTGCAGCAGAATTTGGCAGGCCGACACTGAAAATTTACTTTTTTTAAAAAATAATCGTATTGTAAGTACATGGTGCTTGAATAGCTTCAGCCAGGGAATGACAGCTGCCAGTGGCAAGATTCCGCAGACGGCAGCTGAATATAAATACAGCAGTTAGTGGGCTGGTGCAATAGCCAGCTTGCAATTGGCCATTTCAGATTGCAATAGCCAATACCAGGCTGGCTATTGCACCCGCCCACTGCTTGCTGTGCCCTCATTCCAGCATGGTGGAGAGGGCTAGGGGATCTAACTATCTAATCAATAATGAGAATCGTTGACAACTATTGTCATTAATCCATTATTCTCAATCGATTATTATTGATTAAATAATTTTTTGTTGTTGCAGCCCTATTTTGAAGACACATATATGTCCTCTGTGATAGCTACCAGGGATAGAATTTTGTAAATGAAGTTTTTCTACCAGGTCTAGTGTACCCCATCTTTTTTGTGTAGCCTGGGTCTCCTCCCATCTCCGCAGTGCTTTAAACGATGTGGTCAGAAGGCGGATTTCTTTCACATTTTTTGGTCTTGCCCACTTAAAGGTACCTTCTGGTCTGACGTTACCTCCTTTTTGGAGACGTATGTGCGCCTCCCTAATATATATAATCCCACCCTTTGCCTTTTAGGGCCGTTTGGAGAGCTGGCACTAGATTCTGGAGCTTAGACCCTTATCCGTATTATGTCTGTGAAGGTTCTCATTCATCTAGGTCATGGTATATCTGTAAAAAATAAGTCAAGGCAATACAGCAAGTCCAGTTGCTTTGACTTATTTTCTACTTATCTGTATTTTCCTGTTTTATGCCAAGAAATCAATTCTTCTGGTATGGAGTAGCCCTGAGGTGCCTTCTCTGGGTTGCTGCAGGTGTATAGTTAACCCCTGCCTCTTTATAAAATTACTTATGCACAACAGGGCAATCCACAGCTCTTTGAACGTATTTGGGGTCCATGGTTGTTTTCTATTGCTACAACCATTAATCTTCCCTAAGTTGTCACAGGACATAGTGTTGATATGTTCTTGTCTCCTTTGTTGATTTCTATTACCTGTACTAGAGATGTTGTCATAGTTTACCATACTATTCTAGTGTACTGAGACTGTAACCATTGTTAGGAATGTTTGATTCCTGTCTTCTGTTTTGTTGCCGTTGTATGTAAAACTTAAAGAGAAGCATCTTTAAAGGAGAACTATGAGGTGAGTGATTTTAACTCAACCTCATAGTTTGAGCCGACGTGTGACAATGAAACTGTCACACGTTGGCTCAATAGATCGGGAAGTGAGCGAACACATACCGTCGCTCGCTCACTTCTCGATCATGTCCCTGCAGAGAGCCGTGACTGTCACTCACGGCTCCCTGCAGGGATCCCTCCCCGATCCTCCAGCGCTGACTGGTGGAACGGATGGGGGAGGGGCCGGATAAAGCTGGCTCTGCCTCCTAGATTGGATCACGGGAGGACGCTAGTTTGTGTCCTCCCGTGACCCTTAGGAGAACTATTGCCCCATAGTTCTCCTTTAAAAAAAATTGGACCACTGGACAACTGTGATCACAAGGTTGACAATAAATGATTTATCTATTGTCCGCAGTAGATTTGGTGCTGCTAACTGCATGGACACGTTTGCGTACAAAGTGACACCATCACATTCATATGCGTCATGACGAAGATGTATGTGATAGCATCATCAACCCACACCTGAAGGCAAGAAATGAACTGAGACTTTATAAGGCCTAAGTCGGCACATGCCAGTGGCGATGATATAGTGTGCTTTTAACACTTTGCACAATTTTTTTTTTTAGGACCTAGACACAAACGAGCAGGTAACCCTTGCAGTGTTGGGAAAGCCCCAATGCAAAGGTTAATAAAACTTTTCCCTGGAGATCTTCTTTCAGCATGTAATTCTTGATGATGCCGTACAATGCAGTAAAACATGTAGGGTGAATTTTGGTGCAAAGAGAATTAGTTGGGATGAAGACATAAAAGTTTGAAATCCTATGACCTGTGGCCCTCGACCGGGATTACAGACCCCAGTTTTTTATTTTCCTAGTCTCTTCTTCCTCTTGTTGCCTCTCTCCCTTTTACTTATTCTACTTCTAGGAGTACTTCCTTCTCAATCGGACATTTGCAAGTTTGCTAAGTTTCACTAAGTTTTCTAAGATTAGTCTTTGCACTACCATTATATTACTTGCTCTTTTTTACCATGTTACCAGTATATAGTATTTGAGGTTGAATAAAGACATTAGTCCATCAAGTCCACCCTATTAGGATCTCATTCTAGGAGTACCTGTACCCCTGTATATTACGGTCCCTTAAGAAATCGTCCAAAAGTTTCTTGAACAATTCCACATTATTTGCTGAAATCACCGCCTGTGGCAGTGAGTTCCAGACCCTAACTGATCTTACTGTGAAGAACCCCCTTCGCCCCTTGTGCTGGAATTTTTTTTCCACCAATTTTAGGTGATGGCCTCTAGTTTTTGTAACGGAGTTAATTTTAAACAGTTTATCGCTAATGTTGCTACCACCATTAAACATTTTGTACATGGAAATCATATCCCCCCTTAATCTCCTCACCTCTAATGTGAACATGTTTAAATTTAGTAGCCTCGTCTCGTAGCTCTGGTCCTCCATACCCCCAATTAGTTTGGTTGCCCTTCGCTGGACTTTTTCCAACTCAAGGACATCTTTTCTTAGTACTGGTGACCAGAACTGGACCGCGTACTCCAGATGAGGTCGAACCAATGATCTATAAAGTGGCAAAATTATAGACTTGTCCCTGCAATACATCCCCTTTTTAATACAGGACAAGACCCTGCTAGCTTTGTTTACAGCAGCCTGGCACTGCAAACTACCTTTCAGTTTGTGGTCTACAATGACCCCCAAATCCTTCTCCATTTCTGACTTCCCCAGCGGCATACCCATAATTGTATAACCCATTTGTTTATTTTTAATTCCAAAGTGCATTACTTTGCATTTATCGACATTAAACCTCATCTGCCACATTAATGCCCACTCCCCTATTTTATCCAGGTCCTCCTGTAATGTTATAGTGTCTAAGTCCGTGTCTATTACCCTCCCTATTTTGGTGTCATCCGCAAACACGGAAATATCGCTCTTAACACCCTCCCCGATGTCATTAATAAATAAGTTGAACAATATGGGACCCAGCACAGAACCCTGAGGCACACCGCTCATTACACTAGCCCAGTCTGAAAAGGTGCCATTTACAGATACCCTCTGGACACGTTCCCGTAGCCAGTTCTCTATCCACGTACACACCACCTCATCTATGCCCATAGCCCTCAGCTTGTGTAGCAAGCGTTTGTGTGGTACCGTATCAAAAGCCTTTGAGAAATCCAGATATACCACATCCACCGGCTTACCTCCGTCCATATCTCTACTCACCCCCTCATAAAAAGTCAGTATTACTTTTTTTAATTGCACCACACTGCAATGCATGGTATTGTGGTACTGCACGTTGTGGCTTGATCACGCTTTCAACGCAATGCACCTGCCGCACTGTTAACACATGGTAGGTGTATTGTGTGGTACGGTTAATCGCACAGAACTGTGGGATTAACGCATCGCACCAGCATAAAGGGGCCTTGAGACTGTTGCAGTGCATCATTTTGAATGGAATGCAAAAGCACTGCAGCTCATATTTTAAATGATATGCTGTATCGTTCAGCACACAGTGGACCAGAACACACAGATGGTTCATACCTGTGCATTGTGGTGCTCTAAAATGCAAATGGACTACCGCATGCTACTGCAACACACAGATCTGAATACTTCCTTAGTATGCATTGGAACTTTATCCTGTTTTTTTTCCTCTCATTAATCCCACAGCTGCAAGCACAAGTTGGCTTCAGGAACATGTAGCAGATCTAAGTCGGAGGTATATCATGTATTATATCTGCTAAACTGTCTATAAAATCCTCTTGATGCCATAATGTACATAAGGTTTTAATGCTGCCTGAGTGGTTACACATGGGTGTGATGATTAAACTCTGATCTTAAGGTGCCCATACACTGCACGATTCTCGTATGTGAATCGCGGGAAATCCTGCGATCGTAACGAGAATCGTGCAGTGTATGGAAGGCGTGCGACCGTTTCTAATGTACGGTCGCATGACTTTTGTATTTCGAGCATGTTGGAAAACCAGCCGAGAATCGTACGATTTTCGGCTGGTTTTTAACATGATCGAGAATGACTGCCGAACGGGCCGGTGTGCGTACGCGCACACTGCCCGTTCAGCATTGCAGTCATCGGAAGCCCGTCCCTCGGGGGCGGGCGTGAGATGATCGCAAGTACAATCTGCCTGTCCAAGATGGGGAGATCGTACGTTTTTTAAATTACTTTACAACCCTCGCAAGACAAAAGTCTTGCGAGGGTTGTAGAGTGTATGGGCACCTTTACCCTGTGCAGAGATTTACCTGATTGGGAAAACAATCATAGCACCTGCAGGCTGAATGAGATCATCACTGGGGCAGGTTAACTATGCTGTTACCCTTTACACACACAGTCAGTAGCTGTCACCATGTGTTTTACCAGAAATAAACTCCGTTCAAAGCATCTGCTGTTGCAATCCTGGCCATTAAAGAAAATGTCTATATCAGTTGCTGCCATACCCAGACAGGAATGTAAAAAAGTTTACAGCAAGGCTGGCTGCTTACGGAGTCAGAGATCTTTCATTTCTATTTAGAGATTCAGCTTAATGATGTCTAAATATTGTTTTAATGAAAAGAAAGAAAAAAGGTGCAAGAAAATATATTACAAAACAGACATGAGCAACAGTAAAATAAAAGGGATTAAAAGTGAAAAAGTTAATTTCTCCTGGTCGAGTCTAATTTGCTTTAAGAGTAAATTCAATGTATTGTATCAGAGTCACTGGCTCTGAAGGTGCCCATACACCTTACGATTATCGGACGAAACTTTTCATCCGATGATCGGTCCGTCGTACGATTGTCGTACTACGGCCCCATCCTGCCCCGATTATCGCAAGGTTCAATCAGCGGTAGTTTAAAAAAAACACCTGGACGAATTGCGGTAATCAACCGCACTTATTTTCGTTTGCGCGTGAGCAGTTTTAATCGCACGACTTTTGACGGACGGAAACGCCAGCAACCATGCGAACATCGTACGATCGACCAAAGTTTTCAAACATGCCCAAATGGCAAAAGCCGTACGATTGTACAGTACTATCGGTCGGGCACTACATTCACACGTTACGATTGACGTACGAGAAGTCGATCGCATACGATTATCGTACGATAATCGTAAGGTGTATGGCCACCTTTAGAAACCTCACTCTTTCAGTATCCTTTAGTTTTAATGTGAAACGAGAAGTGCAGTTGCTAGATTCAACACCATTTTGTTGGCCATGGAGATGTTGCAGATCTAATAACATCCAAATAAATGGTCTGTCAGTAGGTGTGCGGGAATATTTTATTATGCTCAGTCAAGGCCACAGCCCTAATGCCAAGCATTCCTAATGCATCTATATTTCCTAATGCATCTATATATTTATATCAGACAAGGTTTCACAATCTGACAGCCAACATATTCTTGAGCAGAATAAAATGACAATTAGAGACCAAACATATTATGTACATCTCGATTAGCGGATCTAATGTGTTTTAAAACCAGCACTGAACCCTGTAATATCCATTAGGTGTGTTTGGTGTCTTATTGATTGGAATATTCTCATACATATCACACGATTTGTTTTTCTATTTTGCAGTTTATGTGGTATTATCCCGGGGCTGAGTAGTATATTCCTACCTCGGATGAATCCTTTTGTGTTAATTTACATTGCTGGAGCATTAGCACTCTGCATTACTTACATATTGATTGAAATTAAGTAAGTAAAGGCTTTTTTTCTAAACTATTTGTGTTTTATATTTTATGATCGTATTTATCTTTCCATGTTTAACAAATATTACTTGGATCAGTCAGGGCTTGCAGCCTTAAAATCATAACTGTTGTTCAGGACAGATATATCCAGATTGTTATCTGCGTGGAGTTTGTGTGTTTTCCTCTTGTCTGTGGGTTTCCTTTTGGATGCTTTGGTTTCCTCATAAATTCAAAAGCATTCTGTTTAGGGCTTATTTTCATAATCAGTTAGCTGATCATTAACTTCGATTAATCGGATAAAAATAATAAAATATATAAAATACACAAGTGCAGCGTTACAGACAAAGTTTAATTTGCAAATTTTTTGAAATCGCACTGCCCTGGAACGCAGGGCATTGCGGTACCACAGTCACGTCAGGTAAATGGACACCACACATCTCGAGCTGTGAAATCGCAAAAAACGACCATATCCAAAATTGACCATAGGTGATGCTTTAAAAGATTTTACCGCTCATCAGTTTAGTGTTAACAGTGATTAAAGGAGAACTATGGGGTCAGGGCTTTTCCCCATAGTTCTCTTTAGGGTAACGGGAGGACACAAACTAGCGTCCTCCCTTACCCTAAGCTCAGTATACCGCGAGCTACAGCTCGCGGTATACTGAGACACCGGAGCGGATCCCGACATTGATGCCGAGATCCACCCAGCTGCGTGAGTGACAGCTGGCTATGCCTATCTAGAGGCAGAGCCAGCTGTACCCGCCCCCTCCCCCTGTCCGTTCCGCCAGTCAGTGCTGGCAGATCGTAGCGGGGAGGGGGGAATCCAGCCCCTCCCCTGTCACGGCAGAGAGCTGTGACAGAATCGAGAGGTGAGTGAACGCCGGTATATGTCCGCTCACCTCCCGATCTACTGAGCCGACCTGTGACAGTCTCATTGTCACAGGTCGGCTAGAACTATGAGGTGAGTGAAAAGCACTCACCTCATAGTTCTCCTTTAATGGCCCTAAAAATATTGCTCACACTCTGACGTTCGCGATGATATGTAACAAGTGCGGTATAATGGGCGCAATCGAGGTTTTTGGGTGTAGGCTCACCTATCGCATTTTTGTGCTGCTACGTGGGGGTGGGGACTTTAGACTTTTTTTTTTGTGGGGGGTTTTTTGTGTAAATTTTATGACCAATTTTTTTTTTTACACTTAAAAGTGACATTAAAGTGGTTCTAAACCCCCTCGATTTTTTGCCTATATCTACTGCTATTAAGCAGTAGATATAGGCAAAAAGTAAAAAAAAAACGCTTTAACAGCGCTTAACACTTACCTTGTTTTGGCTTTGCGCTCCCGTCCGAGAAAACGAAACTGCTCCGGCGGCCGCAAGCATCTTGGGGCGGGCGCAGTTCGGATTCTCGGCTGGGAGACGAGCAGAGACGCAAGGTAAGTCTATGGACGCATGCACCCGCATGCAGACACCATTGGATCAGAAGTGCCTGCTAGCAGGGAGGAGTCAGCGCTGGATTGGAGAGCCGCCGCACCGCTGGAGGGACAGGTGAAAACATGGGGAAAGAAGAGGAAGATCGGATTAAGAGACACCATTTAAGGTAAGTGCTGACATTAACATGGGGGGGAGGGTGAAAAAATGTATCCTTTAATGTAACTTTAAGGGCAAAAGTCCCCCCCCCCCCACAGTGCTAATGTAAGGACTTACCGCAAATGATGCCTCTTAATCTGACTATCTTCTTCTTTCCTGTAGTTTTTAGCTGCAGCGCTGGTGCGGGTCTCCAATCCAGCGCCGACTCCACTGTCCTCTTCTCTGATGTCCCACGGAGTCCGTGCGGGTGCACGCTGCTCCATAGACTTACCTTGTGTCTCTCCTTGTCTCCCGGCCGAACATCTGAACTGCGCATGCGCCCGCCCCAAGATCCTTTGCGGCCGCCTGAGAAATTTTCAGATGTTCGGACGGGAGTGCGCAGCGGAGACACAGGTAAGTATTAACTCTTTGAAAAAAATGTTTTTATTTTTTTTATCGTTTTGCATATATCTACTTACTCCTTAGAAGAGGAGTCCAGGCTTCATATGCAATCACAAAGCTTAGGAATATTTCTCAGCAAACAGATACTTCTCATCATCCCCGACTCCTTACTGTTCACATCAATCATCTTATAGCACAAAATTTTTGGAGGAGAGCCCAGGCTTCATAGGCTATCACAGATCTGAGATAAAGTATCCCAGCAAACAGACATTTCTCACTATGCACTTTAAGACGGAAATCCAGGTTTCATAGGCAGTCACTATGCCCAATAAATTATCTCAGCATACTATTGTTTCCCACCAACTCCTTGCAGCTCACATCCGTCCTCTTCTTTTGTCTGACAGCTGTCCCCTGTTTCTGTAGCCATAATGTCCTTATTAAATGCCCACATGTATTTCAGCCTCACAACTGCTCCCTGCTCTCCTCCCGTCAGTGGCTCAGTGCAGATCTCAGTCAGGATCCGAAGTGCCCGATCTGTCCGTCACCTGCCCCCGGCTTATATACCTCAGATCGGGTTTCTCCGCTTTAATACCGCCAGCGTCTCATGGCTGCGGGACATAACCTAATGCACTTTGTTTATTAGTCTTTGCACGGGGCTATTAAATGTCTCCGTGTTCTTATGAGATTCACCCCCCACTAGGCCTTGACTACCCAGGAACTTTTTTTTTCTGCTTTCAGGGTAGTTCTCACAGAGGCTTTGTCCTCACTTTTTTTTTTCCTCTCCTCATTCCCTTTCTTTTTCTTTTGGAAGCTAATTGATCTCCTTTTGGACTCTGAGGGTCAATCGCTGTTTCTGGAGGGGGAATTGCATTGCCAACTAGTCACTCTAGCGAATGTTTACGCCCCTAATGTGGGTCAGATCGTTCTCTTTGAGGATTGCCTATCCAGGTTAGCCGGATTCACTGAAGGGTTGCTTATTTTTGGAGGTGATTTAAATTTTGGTCTGGAACCACAATTGGACTCTTCTAAGGGCAACTCGCATTTAACTCACTCCAGGCGTAGATGACAGGCATTTCTCCCGCTTCAACTCACGGATGTTTGGCACCTGCGGTTCCCAAGGAAGAGGGATTATAAGTACTATTCATCAGTTCACCACTCGTATTCCAGAATCGACTACTTTCCACTCCCAGGGCGGTCCTCTCTCGGGTAGTGGACATTTCCATTAGAATTATTTCCATGTCGGATCATGCTCCGATCCACCTCTCTTTGGAATTGGGCGCTCATGTCCATAGATCCTCCCTCTGGAGACTAAACGAATCCCTACTGCAGGACAGTGTGGTATCTTCAGACCAGATCTTTTCACTCAATGCCGCTCTAGGTCAGAATCCATTAACTTTGTGGAAATCCCACAAATGTTTTATCAGTGGAATTCTCATTAAGTCTTGTGCCCATCGGAAAAAATCCAGTTTATCACTGAGAAGATTGGAGCGTTTGAACTCTGCCATAAGGCTAACTCAGATGATGCCTCCTGGGCCAAGCTAACCAATCTTAGGATGAAATTGAATTCCTTAATGATGGATAGGGTTAAAGCACAGTTGAGGAAATGAAGGCGAATTTGGCAACAAACCTACTAGAATTCTGGCTAATGCCTTGAAACAGGCCAGATCTAAATCTTTTGTTTCACAGATTGTTTCTCATTCAGGCTGCCTACTCTCCACGTCCATGGACATCTATAAACAATTCAAAACATATTATATTTATTTTTATAATCTACCTGTATTGGCGAAGGGGCTGACTTACGGAACCCTGAATGTCAGCAATTCGTCAGTATTTATCCTCCTCAGGTCCTCCCACTAAGAATCCCTGGAATGTCCTATTTCCTCTGACAAATTACAGTTTTTAAAATCTATGAAACCTGGTAAGGTACCTGGCCCTGACCAGTATACCTTAGCTTAGTATTCCAGATTTAAGGATCAACTAGTGGGTCATTTTGTTGCAACTTTCAACACAATTCAGGAAGGTAATCTGATGCTGGTGGATTCTCTTAAGGCTTTAAATACTGTACTTTCCAAGGAAGGTAAGGGTCCCTGGAGCTCTGCAAGTTACTGGCCCATATCTCTGTTGAACGTGGACCTGAAGATTTTTGCCAAAATACTATCTAATAGGTTATTGACAATCTTCCCTGATCTGGTGGGCCTCAAACAGGTCGGTCGGCTTTGTCCCTTCCAGGGAAGCAAGGGACAATACAATTAGGTTTACAATTAACCCTGCAGGCTATCCAGTCCCTCCCACTGTCGACTGACACTGAGAAAGCATTCAACAGGGTTGACTGGATGTTCCTTCGCGAGACTTAATTACATATTGGGCTAAGAGACATGATGCTAGGTTGGATTAATGCTCTCTACTCCACCCCAACAGCTAGGGTCAAGGTGAATGATGATGTATTTGATTCTCACCCCATCAGTAATTGCACACTTCAGGGATGTCCTTTGTCTCCCCTATTAGAACCTTTTATACATACGATCCTGGACTTTCCTGATATATCTGGGATGCAGACACCGACTGGAAATCATAAAATTGCGGCATATGCCGACGATTTACTTTTCTATCCTAGGAATCCAGAAGTGTCGCTCCCCAACTTATTTACTTGGATCTCAAGCTATGGTGGCCTTTCGGATTTCAAAATGAATTTCTCTAAATCGGCTGCTCTGAATGTCTCCTTGAGTGATTGTTGGCTTCAGGGTCTTAAGTCGCGATTTCCTTTTCAATGTCCAGTTTATACTATTGTCCTAGTAGAATAGACATCTTTTTTTTCTCCTTAGAGAAAAACAAACTTATTTCATCTGACAATTTTACATTTGCATCAAGATATTTTTCTCTTCAATCAAGAATTTTCATTAACTGTCGAGCTATGAGGACTCATATTGTAGCTTCTGGATCAGCTGATCCTGTGCGACCCCTTGGAGGCAGTACCTGGGCCCTGTGATGCCGAAGTCGAAGGGCCTGCTTATAATATAACATTAGGTCAAAAGGCACTGCTTGTGGTGCTGTGCAGACACCCAGTGTACCGTGATACACTCACTGACGTAATCCTGTCCCTGAAGACTCTCTTGCGAGTATGCTCACTTAAATGTGACATTTCACTGGGTCCTGCATCGGCACTCTCCAGTACTTGTTGCTATGTTTGTTGACACAGGGTGCTCTCCAGACCACTACTGCTGTAAGGGTTTAGGGATTTTCCCTATATTTTGGAGCCTAGTGTGTGTGACTGTGTCTCCTGCCGATTCCCCTCTGTGGGATAACGATTGGAGAAAATGTGGAGAAAATGTGCTGTGTCACATTATATGTGTCGCACACTCTGTGACACAGTGCCACATTGGGATCTGTCATATGTGCCTGGAAGCCTTTAGTGCTGTGCTTCACACAGCTGTGTCACGTACATGCTCTCTGCCTCTTCTGCCAGCAGAATAAGGTAGTCTTACTGCCACAATATTCCTCGCAAGGACACAAGCTTTCCTCTTCCTCTACTTGCTAGTGTTACATAACAGTTGGCCATATAACTTCCCCTTCTTATGCAACTGGTTTGTAAATAACTGTTTCGTTGGGGGTTTCAAAGACAGCCTGAAGCATTGTCACTTGCTTAACTACACATGCTCCTCTGAGTCTTTTCTAGTTCCATCATGCCTGGCTCCATCGATATTATCCAGGGAGGAATTTTCTGCAGCTATGTCAGGTTTTATAAATAAAATTACTGCCATGATAGCTGCCTCAAATGCAAGGGCCGCAAGTGCACTTACTATGCCTTCTACTCCAGAATCTGTCTCTGCTAAGTCTGTCTCTGCTATGCCAGCAGCTGCTTCACCCTTCCTTCCTGATAGTCTGGGGCATCCATGGCAAGTATCAGCTGGAAGGGCAGAGGAAGCTGATCACCTCCGGGTTCAGAGCTGTCATTTCCTGGCCTCTGTGGCCAGAGAAGAAGTTAATATAGCACAATATGTGGCTCAATAGAGTGCAGAGGTGACATTAGGGGTCTAATAGAGAACCTATCACTTCCACTATGCTATCACATAGGGGTCTTGTCAGTTAAGTTGAAGAAAAAAGTTTTACAAATTAAAGTTTAATAAGAATAAATAAATGTTTTAAATGCCCCAACCACCACATACAGGGGCATTATCACAGTTAACTCGGAATTGATGAGCTGTAAAGGTACAAATGAAAAATGGACAATTTTAGTTAGCATAGTCTTTGGCCATTTCACGAACACACGCAAATATGAGGCTTGACATGTGTGGGATCTATTTACTTGACTTTGGTTATTATATTATGTTTAAGTGTAGTAGAACTTAAATGTATTTTTTACTGAACATATGGGTTGTGCGAATAGTTGTGCTAATAACTTGTGACATAAAAATTGCAACTGCCACCATTTCATTCTACAGGGTCTCTGCTTTCAGAAAATATGAAATGCTTTGGGAGTTTTAAGTAATCTTCAGGCCTAAAATGAGCATTTTAACGTGTGCAAAAAAATGTATTTTATTAAGAAGTGGACATCTCAATAAATGCATGGACCCAGCCATTTCCAGTGTTAACAAAACAGTGACTGTTCCTTTTGTGGACCCTTCAATATTTAACCACCTGCAGCCCCATAGTGCTATACCTGTACTTCCTCCTGTGGTCTCCTTGTTTGCTTTCAAGGACAGAACAAGTGCCAGGGCATAGAATGCATATTGGGTGCCCTTAACCAGAACAGAAAAACTATGTCTGTGTAGAATTAAAAGTCTGGAAAAAAATTATATTCCGGTGCATATATAGTATGTATGTGTGTTCTGCCCAATTAATTTCTGATCTTTTGCTAATACATGTGAGAGCATGTGCAGGGCAGTATAATTATTTTATTTTATATCTACAGCAACTATTTTGCCATGGATACTGCATCAGCTGTTGCAATTGCTGTGATGACTTTTGGTACAATGTATCCAATGAGTGTTTACAGTGGCAAAGTTCTGCTCCAAGTAAGTCATTGGATTTTGTTGGTATTACATCCAGAAAATGTTATTGCGTTCTACAGTACACATTCCCTGAGTTATGTCATTCTGGGAACTTTTAAACGGCTGTCCAGACAGGTAAAATTCCCAAAACAAATTGTTATTGATACACTTGCATTGCCTTTTCCATAGACACATCAAATCTTCTGTCTGGATTTAGATTGTTTTACTCTTACACAGTATAATATTGCATTAGAGTTTAAGAGCAGTACAGTTTGAGTAATAGTACACATTTTACAGATTAAGTGCAGAAAGCAAATCCAGTGAGGAGGCGTCCAGTCAAAGGCTAACTGTTTTGTTATAGATGTCTATTAGAGCGCATGAATAGGGAGGCATCTTGAAGTACAGTACTACATACAGTACTGTGCAAAAGTTTTAGGCTGTAAAGTGTAGTTGTTTTAAAAATAATGAAATCGTTTTTAAATGATCAATTAACAACCTACAAAGTACATAAACATAAAAAAAAGTTCTAATGAATATCCGGAATGTCGACCCTTTGCCTTAAAAAGTGCAAGGTATACCCATTAACACAAGTGACAAATGCAGGCTTACTCGTGTTATAGCATATATTAGGGAAAACTATCATTATCACATACTTACCAAAATGTTTCTTTCATGGCTCTCTGACATCTCATCATCCCCTGGAATCAGCTCTGCCCCCGTACCCCTCCAGGATAACCTCTCAGTAGTAATAATAGGCCCAAATTCTGCAAATGCAGGCAGGGGCGGACTGGCAATAAAAGATTATGGGGCCCCCATTGTGCTCGACCCATATACTAGCCCCACCCACGTATACATTCTTGCATCCCTCTTCCTACACTGCACCTCTGCAATTCTCTTTCTACACTGCTTCCCTCTGCACCCCCTGCATCCCTCTTCCTATACTGCCCACCTCTGCACCTCCCGCATCCCTTTTCTAATGCTTCTCGCATCTCCACCCCCCCTTCCTACACTGCTTGGCAGAGGTGAACACTGTAGGAAGATAGCTGCAGAGGGTACAGAAGTTAGGAGTGTAGAAGTGTTGGCAGAGAATTTGATGACTGCCACCCTCTTCCAACACTGGTAACTTCCACACCATCTACATCCCTCATATTGCACTGCTGACCACCATCTTACACTGCTAGTCCCTTCTAAGCTGCTCACTCCCTGCAGTTTACCCCATGGTAGGACTCCCGCTCCTGATATCATGGACTGTGGGTGCTGCAGGGGACGGAGCCAAATGTGCTGAAAGTCACCGGTCCTTCCAGCAGTTAATCAACACAGCACAGGTGAGCACATGGGACCCTGATAGGTCTGCTCAGCAGATGGTCCCACCCACTTGCCAAAGTAATAACCTCTCCTTCCATGCAGAGAAACCCCAGTCCCTGTAGGGAAGGAGGGCAGGAGCCTGCCAATCAACTTGTTACCATGGCAAGTAGTCGGGACCATCTTCCTTCACTACAGGTAGCCCGTGCTGGGTTCGGGCCCCCCCCTGCTGACTTGACGGCAGTGGCATAACCAGAGTTACGGTTGCTCGGGGCAAAACCAAAAAAAGCGAGGTCTATGAAAGAATGGTTCGCTCTCAGGAGCCCAGTGAATTCAAGCGTGGCACCGTGATAGGTTGCCACCTGTGCAAAAAGTCCATCCGTGAAATTTCCTTGCTACTAAATATTCCACGGTCACCTGTTAGTGGTATTATAACAAAGTGGAAGCAACTGGGAACAACAGCAACTCAATGGTATGCCACGTAAAATGACAGAGCGGGGTCAGCGCATGCTGAAGCGCACAGTGCGCAGAAGTCGTCAACTGTCTGCAGAGTCAATAGCTACAGACCTCCATACTTCGTGTGGTCTTCAGACTGGCACAACAACAGTGCGCAGAGAGCTTCATGGAATGGGTTTCCATGGCCAAGCAGCTGCATCCAAGCCTTACATCACCAAGTGCAATGCAAAGCGTCGGATGCAGTGGTGTAAAGCACGCCGCCACTGGACTCTAGAGAAGTGGAGATGTGTTCTCTGTAGTGACGAATCACGCTTCTCTGTCTGGCAATCCGATGGACGTGTCTGGGTTTGGCAGTTGCCAGGAGAACGGTACTTGCCTGACTGCATTGTGCCAATTGTAAAGTTTGGTGGAGGGGGGATTATGGTGTGGGGTTGTTTTTCAAGTGTTGGGCTTGGCCCCTTAGTTCCAGTGACGGGAACTCTTAAGGCATCAGCATACCAAGACATTTTGCACAATTTCATGCTCCCAACTTTGTGGGAACAGTTTCGGGATGGCCCCTTCCTGTTCCAACATGACTGAGCACCAGTGCACAAAGCAAGATCCATAAAGACATGGATGAGCGAGTTTGGGGTGGAGGAACTTGACTAGCCTGAGTCCTGACCTCAACCCGATAGAACACCTTTGGGATGAATTAGAGCGGAGACTGCGAGCCAGGCCTTCTCATCCAAAATCAGTACCTGACTTCACAAATGCACTTCTGGAAGAATGGTCAAAGATTCTCATAGACACACTCCTAAACCTTGTAGACAGCCTTCCCAGAAGAGTTGAAGCTGTTATAGCGGCAAAGGGTGGGCCAACTCAATAATTAACCCTACGGACTAAGACCGGGATGTCATTACAGCTCATGTGCATGTAAAGTCAGGTGTCCCAATACTTTTGGCAATATAGTGTGTGTGTGTGTGTGTGAGTGTGTGTATGTGTGTGTATATATATGAAGCAAAAGTGGAAATACTATATATATATATATATACAGTGTGTGTGTGTATACACACACTATATTTATATAGTTCAATGCAATAATGCATGCAATAAACTCAGGACTCTGCAATAATAATAACAAAAATAATAATAACAGGTGTGACACAGCCCCAGCAGCCCAACTACTTAGACCAGCAAGAGGAGAAGCAATAGCTGGCTCACAGTCATGGCCTCTGCCAGCACATGGTCACCCAGCGCTGAATCTGCGGTTCTTAAACCCAGTCTCTGCACGGTTCTGCTGCACGTCCTCCATCCCCCTGAGTTTGCTGCCAGTGTTCTGTCCAGGAACGGACACACATTGCTGCTTCTCCGTCCGACTGCCAGGTGGCAGAGATCTGCCCTGACGCACTCTGCGTGAGGTGAGCGGAGCCTTCGGGGCGGATCAGCATGTGCCGAAAACAAAGGAAGTTGCCTGGCCGGCGGCCTTCCCCCCTCCGGTTGTTAAACAACGGCCTCATGGGGCCCGATCCAGTACAGGAGACTGCTTTTACCCCCCTGTCAGTGACCTTGGCCAAGGGGCCCCTCCTGGCCGTGGGTTCTCGGGCAGTGCCTGAGTGCCCTTATGGTCAGTCCGCCCCTGGCTGCAGGAGGAGAGTGCAGCATAAGCAAGTATGTCTCATACCCAGGAAAGCCCATTAAAAAAACAATGCCACAGGAGAAGTAGCACTTGCTAGAAGTAGGCAAGGAGGATAGCAGTGGCAGAGCCTCCCCAAACTGAAACATATGGCCACCTTGCTCCTCTGCCACCACCAGTTATAAAAGTGCAGAAACCAGAAGGCTGTCCTGAGGCCACACCATGAAGCCCTGTGCCCTTTTCCTGGCACCTGATGCACTGGAGAAAAGTGATGCAACCAGTGTGGAAAGTAGCTGGAAGTCCAAGAGTGGAAAGAAAGGAGGAGGTGGTTCCCAAACACAGAGTGAACTGGGGCAGACATTTAACCTAGAGACTGTCCAGATCAAGGACATAAAAAAGCACACTAAAGGGTGGCGTTTGGGTCTCTTTTATTACTACTCAGTGGTTGTCCTGGATTGTCAGGGGTGTAGCTGACCTTAAGGTATGCTGGCATGAAATAAGCCAGGAAATAAATGTTTTTGTACTATATATACCATTTACCACACAATTTTACAGAAATATATTTATTTTGAGGACAGAGTATTAAGCTTGTCTATTCAGTATATCTCTCACTGTAGGAACATTTGATCACTTAAAATTGTGGGTCATTTCATGAGTATTATTGACTGTACATTACTAGTTTGAAAAAATAAAGTTATAATGACAAAAATATTCCAGAATATCTTACCTAGTGAGAAACATTGTCATCCCATACTCTCACTGCAGCAAGTCACCAGATTCCACTGTGCTGAAGAACAGAATGTATCCCCTCACAGAGCGATCGGGGTTTCCTGAGACATGCTTAACACACACATTATATGTACTGTATGTATGCTGTAGCCCATCTTTGGCATTGTTAAACAAAATTCAATAATAATGCAAAGAAAAAAAAGTTTAAAAAAATAGTTTTGGCACAAGTTGTAAAGTTTACAAGTTGTAAAAAAAAAAAGTCAACATTTATATTTACAAGGGAACACCTGCATATGTTAGGACAAAGCCAAGACTTTAGCTTCAGTACCTGAAGTTCTTGTACAGGAAGTGAATAAGAAGACAGGTTACCCCTAAAGCTGACCATACCACTGTTATATTAACAGTTAAATATAACATATTCCTCCATTCACACTAAATAGTGTGGATGGATGAATCTCCCGGCTGAGTCCTTTGAGTATTCTGACAGCGGCACACCAGCCGCTGTCAGGATACAAACAGTGGCAGCAGCTGACTGGCTGCCGTCACTGTTTTCCTGTTTTGCATCTGGCTCCTTTCATTCTCTGATCGAAGGATGCTGGGCAGAAGGGTGCCGACAGGGTAGCCCACTCTGCGAATTGGAAATTCGCACAGTGTATAGCAAACTTAAGTTTGTGTCTTGCTCCTAACAGTCTTAAGCAGTAGTACAGACCATGATATATCCCCTATTTACTATCAAGCAGTTTCTGAATGGGGAGAAGCCTCTGTACAGAGTGCTACTCCCCATTCAGAAACGAATGAGCAGAAAGTGATGTAAAGCACATCCTGTTCATTCATAACTGGGGACATATAGTACTCAGTTATTTACAAACACTGGAGTGATCAGCTGATCGCTCCAGCGTTTGCTCTGCACACAGAGGATCTGTAT